ATCCATAATTTTGTTAAGCAAATTTGCTGAAAACTTATTGGTGGTTTTTTCTTTTGATTCCACGCTATAATCAGTTTTTCCTCTGCACATATGCTGCAATCCCATTGAATTATTTGCTCGAGGTCTGAATTTTTTCTCAAAACATTCATCAAGTTGTTTTTGAACTTCCACTTGAATACTTTTACAGCTTAAAGTGTATGCTTCTTAGCTTCATTTCTAACCATATTTTTGAAATACAACGGGAAATGCCTTTCGATGCGGTAAATTTGTTTTCCTAAACTCGCTTCAGCGCAAATATCTCTTAAAAACTCCTTGGGGAAGCAAACCAGTCCTCGTACTACATCTTGGCTGGAAGTGATGGGGAAATTTTAAACGACGTGAGTGCCGGAAACGCATATGCTAGTTAAAACGTGATGTATGATGCCTGAATCAAAACCCAGGTGTTGTTGAGTCTCTGGCAAGCTGTGCTTGTGGAACAGGTAAACAGGAGAGAGTTTTCTGTTCTCTTTGACTTTCCAGAAACAAATGGAGCCCAAAGCAAAGCCGATGTAAATTCCAGTTTAAGTCATCAACCATCTTGAAAATTGTCCGTCGCAAAGTGAGATAGAAAACTTCTCAGAACAAAGTTATTGAACCGAAACAATCCTATTCAGAGCTTCAGCCTGCCCTTTGCTATATATTTTCTATAAATTATTTTATTTATGCCCTCCTTCTAAATCATCCAGTTAGTTTTTATTTAATTAATTTTTTGCTTTAATTAGTTTTTATTTAATTAATTTTTTTTACCATTTTTCACACTTAATTTTTGCTTTTTCTACGTTTGCTGGCTCCTAGTCCTATAGCAAAAATATCAAAATCAGCCAAACTATCAGTGATAAATAATGTTATGAGAAAGTTCACACACTCCAAACGCAGCTTTGCCAGGCCGTTTTTCGATCCTGGTCTGCATACCTCCAGTTAATACTCACAGCTTGGTTCTATGTAATCTTTTAATCAATACATATTAAAAAATAATGGCTAAAATTACTAAGATATCAGGCTTTTTCTTAAGTTTTTCGATAGTTTTTAAACGATTTTACTAATTTTTGCCGTCTTTTCGAAGTTCATATGCTCGGTAGCGTGGATTTACGTAGAATGTGTGGAAAAAAAGGATCGTTCGCGATTCGAAAAGTGCTACCTCAAATTGATATCATGAAAATCAACATGTTCCGGTTCTTTTGTTGGCCAGTGTCCGGACATTTTGGTAGTTGATGCATTGGGATTCGAATCCTCCAAGCTGCAAGTTGCTGTGGATCGACGCCGACTGCTGTATGTGTCGATGAGACTTGCCGGCGGTAACGGACTCTTTCCACTGTCCTCCTTGATGGGCTTCTCGAGAGGCACAAATGGTTTTTGCCTGAAACAAGCGATAAATTTTACAGATATCGAAGAAAACTAATAATTAGCGCGCACCAAGGATCTGCCCTTCACTTCCCGCGGTAAGCTGAGAGCAGGTGAATATTTGGTGTATGCAGAAATAAGTCGTCTTGCACTGGGATTTCAATCTTATGACTATAAACAAGCGGAATTTCTTATAAAAAAGCGAAATTTTTTTAGATTCGTAATCTTATTCCGCGCCTAAATTGTCAACCTGCCAATCTACTTTAGCTCCTAGAAAAAGAGCTTTTGTGTTGATTTGACATCCTTTGTCCTGGGTACCGAGAAAGCCACGTCCGACCGGTCAGTCGTGAGAGGATCCGATGTCAGTGATGTTACTAGGATGTTCCAAGGGACTGAGCGTAGCTGTGTTGGGGCTTTTGATACTGAACTATCCCAAATAATTTTACGAATTTAAATTCCTAAAATCAAAAGTTTATATTTTACCTTTTTTTGAATTACAACAGTAGCTTCTCCTAAGACGCAAATTTATAAATTATTACCACTTAAGCCGAAATTTTTAGAAGTGAAATAAAAAATTCTCCTGAATTCGTGCAGTGTAAGGCAAATCCAGACATAAAATTCAAAACTCATAACCACATCCGTAAATCAAGACCGATTTTTGGAACTTAGCTGAAAAGTCGGGAAAAAACAGCTTTTTGTAGAGGTAATTTCAAATTTGTACTCTCGTACTTTTGAAACGTATGCCCAAAATCTCCTGAAGTTATCTAACTTTGCATTGCTATTGTTAATGGAATCTAAGTTACCACCGTTTATTAAACTGCATTTGGCAAATCCTCGAAAAGTGAAACATCGTAAACAACTAACGGAATCAAACGGCAAATCCCACAATGGACAGGCCGAAGATTTCGGGGCATTAAAACTGACAGATAGACAGATTAAGCAGAACGGCTGAATGAAGCTAACATGAGTCGTGCACTTTTCCCTCAAAATTTCTCCTAAATGCAGCTTTCTTTGTATTTAATAACAAAAAGATCCCTACCAATTCTCTAGCCTTAGATCTATAAAAGCTCTGCAGTTCAGAGAATTCTTCGAAAATTTTTGGATTTCTTCAAATAATCATTTTAATTCTAACGGGTAATTAAGTATAAAGGCCTCATTGCAGTTTCATTGTCAGTCAATCGTACATCCTGAAAATCACCACTTTTCCTCGCACTGACAAACTGCCAAAACAGTCGTAGCCAAAAGGCAAAGTCAAACCCCGCTCCTGTTTGCTTTTAGATCGTAAATGACAGGCCGAGACATTCGGAGGGAGCTAGAATGATAGAAAGCGCCCACGGCAACTATTCACTGGCAAGGCTACCAATGGCTCCGTCTTTCAATGGCTGCTTATAAGGAAAGTGATGGTGGATTTTATTCCCTGACATGAATTAGTACCAATTTACCATTGAAACGAATGAAGGAATTGTAGAGGGATTGATTGTCGAGCCGACGGAGTCAAAGTTTCGACCTCCTGTACGAGAGCAGCGCTACCTGCACAGTGCTTTGCCTGCCAGCTTTCAGAATTGTACGAAAAAAAAGTAACAACATGCATTTTGTGCAACTGTTACAGCGCAAAATAAGATGCGGGAATTGAATCGGTAGATGCAAAGTTTCACCAGACAGAGACAAAGCCCGAAGGAGGAGTGCTGAATCAGTGGGAATTGCGCTAAAATGTAACACTTTGAAGAAGAGTTGCAAAATCGAAGTAGAGAATAGTCTGAAAAACAAAAAATGAGGGAAGGCGTGATTTGAGCCAAGGATTGCCACATTTTTGGTGCAATTTTTACTGAAAGCAGCCACTGCTGCACACTTTTTTTCTGCTAAAATGCAAACAAAAGAGGCTAGAAATTTGAGGAAAGCAAGCCTTTCAAACCAAGAACGTCATGGGGAAGTGGGCGATAGAACCATCGAACCATCGTCTTGGTCAAAAAGAGAGCCTCATTCTGCAGAAGCACTAATTCGCTGCTTCGAGAAGAACTGAACCAAAGTGAATTGTTGTCAATTAGAAACTATGGAAAGTTGTGCAAAGCAATGGGAGCAGTCTAGTTCTATCTAAATCATGCTATGCAAAAGACATAACAACAGATGCGGCACCAGTACCAGCAGCAAATGAGTCTGAAGAGGAGCAAATGAGGATCGATTTTGCACTAGAAATTGGCCGAATCCAAAGCCTATCAGTGCTTTCGTAAATTACAATGTTTATAAAGCATCAAGCTGTTGAAGGAAACAGTAATCTGTTGTGCTTCCTGGGCAATAAATGAAACTTCATATTTTGGGGGATTAATGGAATGGATGAGTGGGGATTGCGGGGGAGGAGAGGGAGATTGTAGGGGAGGGGTCCCAGTGAAATGTCTATATCACAGCTTTCAATTAACTTGAATTTCTTTTTATACTAAATCCAGAGTTAAAAGGTTGCCGAGGATTCAGTGAAAAGTTGATTTTTCAGGATGGGATGAATCAGTTTTTCCTCCTTTTTATGCGTTTTTGCACTGTCTCAGTCAGTCAGCAACAAGTATGGGAACGATATTCCTGACATGTGTATAATTTATGATGTCTAGTCTAAAAAATGGTAAATAATTTAATAAATTAGTATATATGTGTGTATGTAGGTGTGCATGCATGCGTGCATGGACGTGTATGTTTGTGCATCGTTGGATTGTTCGCATGTTT